TCTCTGTTGCCTGGGCTAGAGTGCTGTAGCGTCAGCCTAGCTCACAGCAACCTCAAACTCCTGGGCTCAAGCGATCCTTCTGCCTCAGCCTCCCAAGTAGTTGGGACTACAGGCATGCGCCACCATGCCCAGCTAATTTTTTCTATATATTTTTAGTTGTCCAGCTAATTTCTTTCTATTTTTAGTAGAGACCGTGTCTCACTCTTGCTCAGGTTGGTCTCGAACTCCTGACCTCGAGCTATCCTCCCACCTTGGCCTCCCGGAGTGCTCAGCAATTCTATTTCTGGAATATATTTTCCCACAGGAGCATGAATAAACTGGTATTTTATAAGATAGAAAATTACACCATAGTTAAAATTAAGGTGTTGGGTTGAAAAATGAAACTGCAGTTTCATATAGTTTGACCATGTACTAGAGCTATTATCTATCAACATGAGAAATTTCTAAACTTGAGAGAAAAGTTGTCAAATTACAAAGAACTCTTTGAACTCAACAATAAGAAAATGAACAACCTAATAAAGAAATGGGACAAAAGATCTGAATACATACTTTTCCAAAGAAGATATACAGATAGCAGGTAAGCACACGAAAAGATGTTCAACATATGTCATTAGGAAATTACAAATTAAAACAACAATGGGATAACTCCTGCACACCTACCTATTAGAATAGCTAAAATCCAAAACACTGACATCACCAAATGCTGGTGAGGATGTGGAGCAACAGGAACTCTTATTCCTTGTTGGTGGGAATGCAAAATTGTACAGCCACTTTGGAAGACAGTGGTTTCTTACAAAACTCAACACACTCTTACCATAAGATCTAGTGATCATGTTCCTTGGTATTTACCCAAGTGAGATAAAACTTACGTCCACACAAAAACCTACACATGGATGTTTATGGCAACTTTGTTCATAATTGCCGAAATTTGGAAGCAACCAAGAAGTCCCTCAGGAGGTGAATGGATTAACAAACTGGTACATTCAGACAATGGAATATTATTCATTGCTAAAAAGAAATATGCTATCAAACCAGGAAAAAACATGAAGGAAGCTTAAATGCGTATTACTAAGTGAAAGAAGCCAATCTGAAAAGGCTACATGCTGTATGATTCCAACTACAGAACATTCTGGAAAGGGCAAAACTGTGGAGACAGTAAAAGATCAGTAGTTTCCAGGGGTTTGAAGGAAGAGAGGGATGAATAGGTGGAGTGCCAGAGATACTTAGGGCAGTGAAACTACTCTGTATGGTACCATAATGGTAGATACATGTCACTATGCATTTGTCAAAATCCATAGAACTTACTACCCCAAGAGTGATCCCTAATGTGGACTATGGACTCTAAGTGATAGGGTTGTGTCCGTGTAGGCTCCTCAGCTGTAACAAATGCACCACTCAGGTGCAGTATGTGGATGATGGGGGAGGCTTTATGTGTTGAGGGTAGTTGGGTATATGGAAATTCTTTATACTTAAACTCAATATTGCTGTGAATCTAAAACTGCTTTAAAAATATAGTCTATGTTAAAAACATCAAATTACAGAAGCATCTATATGGTACAATATCACGTAAAATTTAAAAACCTGCAAAACTATTTATGTAATATTTATGGAGACTAGTATGTACTAAAAATATAAGAATATGAGAAAATGGAACAGTCTATCATATGGTATAAAATTAGAACTCTTCATGAAAGGTAGTTGATGTCTGTTCAAATGGATATAAAATAGATACATGAAAAAGGGATGTTACATTTGGACCTATAGTCAAACTGGCCAACAGTCTGCTTTACCTATACTTAATTACAAATGTCCCCCCTCCCCCAAGTGTTTTTCCCCCCTTTTGGTCATTTTTTTTTTTTTGAGACAGAGTCTCGCTCTGTTGCCCAGGCTAGAGTGCTGTGGTGTCAGCCTAGCTCACAGCAACCTCAAACTCCTGGACTCAAGCCATCCTCCTGCCTCAGTCTCCCAAGTATCCAGGACTACAGGCACACACCACCATGCCCGGCTAATTTTTCTATTTTCAGTAGAGACGGGGGTCTTGCTCTTGCTCTTGCTCTGGCTGGTCTCAAACTCTTGACCTCAAGTGATCCTCCCGCCTCGGCCTCCCAGAGTACTTAGGATTACAGCCTTTTGGTCATTTTTTAAAAACCTTTTATTTTGAAATAATTAGACACAAACATAGTTGCAGTCCCGGTTGTCTGAATCTTCTCTTGTTGCTGGCTTATTTTTGTGTTTCTATCTTTTCTTTCCACATTTCTATTATAGTATTTTTTTGTCTTTTTTTTTTTTTTTTTTTTGAGACAGCATCTTGCTGTTGCCCAGGCTAGAGTGCTGTGGCGTCAGCCTAGTTCACAGCAACCTCAGACTCCTGGGCTCAAGTGATCCTCCTGCCTCAGCCTCCCAAGTAGCTGGGACTACAGGCACATGCCACCATGCCCAGGTAATGTTTTCTATTTTTAGTAGAGATGGGGGTCTCACTCTTGCTCAGGCTGGTCTCGAACTCCTGACCTCATGCAATCCTCCTGCCTCAGCCTCCCAGAGTGCTAGGATTATAGGCATGAGCCACTGTGCGCAGCCTATATAGTATTTTTAATATTGATCTGATCTGACCCTATCTATATCATAAGTACCCAAGGATTCCAACCTGTGTTTCTGCTGATGTACGTACAGTGATTCATTTCTTTGTATGTTTGGTGATCTTTGTGAGGTCTTCTTGGTTGATATTAATCTATGGACAGAGGGCCTAAACTGAGCATGCTTTTCTCTATAGAGGATTTGCTTTGTTTCTGGGAGACCAGGAGCATCACTACCCTGGATCTATCTTTGCTTCCACCCAGGGTCCCAGTTCAGCCTAGGTGTCCCCCTTCCCACTTCCTGATCATGGCACACCCTTCTCATGGCTGGCCACTCACTGGGCCCCTCGGAGCAACCTTCCCTCCTGTCGACAAGGCCCGAGTAGGATCGAATTGTTTTTTCTTTTCTTTTCTTTTTTTTTTTCATCAGGATGATTAGGCTTAATACGAATTGGTTTTTCATAGTCAGGGCTCTCCCAACTGTGGCTCCAACCTACCTGGCTAGCTTTGGGTTTTGAAGCAAGTCCATTAGCCTCACTCTGCTTCCTTTGCAATATGAGGAGATTAATCCTTACTTTACAAGTTGTTATGGGAATTACAGACAATAAATGAAGCCTTAAGTCACTGGTGCAGAATGAGACCTCAATGCCTGTGTGCTCAAGTGCTCTGCGTCTGCCCAGGGCACTAAGGGTCCAGCCTTCCTGTCCAGTGAGCCACCTTCCATTTCCACCCTTACAGAGACGCCAAAGGCCAGAGGTAAAACAGACCACTACAGATGCTTTATTGTTTTCTTTGTAAAACATGAAAACCCAGGCCCCAGGCTGAGAGTGATGCTGGGGGGGCAGAAAGAATGGAGTTGTCGGTGGGTCCTGGAATGGGGGCACCCAGATCTCCGCTCTTCCCACGGGCTCCATCTGGCTGGGCTTGACTTCTGGCAAAGGGCTGCTCTTCTTGCCTGCAGCCCACCAGAGGCCAGGCCTTGCAGGTGGGAGAAGCTCAGGCAGAAAGATGTGGCCCATGGCCATCCCTGAGTTGGTAGTAAGCAGTTCTTGGTTCGGCAAGGGCAAGGCTGGGTGGGAGCCAGGCCGAGGGGCCTCATGGTTCCCTCTCACAGCTCCAGCCAGGCCACCCGCTTCGCCACCCAACTACTTGCTCACCTGCCTGCCATGCTCCCCGCCTGATGCCAGCCCCTGGGAGAGAACATCTGAAGGCAAGAAGGAAGAAGGCCCCTGCCTAAGCTTCTTCCTTCCTTCCTGGTCAAATGGGAGGAGCAGCTGAGGCCATTACTTTAACTGAAGAACCACAGAGGGGCTGGGACAGGGCACCCAGTAAGGGTTATGAACACATCTCTGAAAACCATATCTGAGCTAAAAGCATCAGTCCATCTCCAGCCCAGCTCAGTGCAGGGTGAGAATTCAAAAGGCAGTACTGAGAGCCAACCTGGCTGGGGCTGGAGTCCTAGCGCAGCCTCTTCCCCGAGCCTCAGAGCCCGCTGCTGCCCGGGCAGAGAGGAGGCCAGGGCCCAGCCCAGCGAAGCCTATCTCCCAGACTGCAAGTGGTTGTGGAGCTGCTCTGCCTGAGTCTTCAGGTGCTGGAATTCCTCCTGAATGAAGTCGGTCAGGGCCTTGCGCATCTCCACCTGAGTGAAAGGACCAGGACTGGCCTGCACCCCTTGGGAAACATGGCCCAGATACCCTGGCAGGCAGAGGGGGATGGGAGGGGAGAGGCCCCCTGCCGGTAGCCAATGGCCCGGGTTGGGGGCTGAGGACAGCTACGGGAAACTGGGGAGGAAACTCACAGCTGACTTATTCTCTGCCCGGAGCCGCTCGAGCACAGGGAGGGCACTGAAGGGCTTCCCGATCAGCACGGTGATCTTCTGTGGGGAGGCCAGCCACTGAGAGTGAGCAGGGGGAATGCACACAGCCCTTGATGTGCTGCGTGCTCCCTCGGGGCCACTCTCCCTCATTTTTTTTTTTTTTTTTGAGACAGAGTCTCACTCTGTTGCCCAGGCTAGAGTGAGTGCCGTGGCGTCAGCCTAGCTCACAGCAACCTCA